CTCCCCAGCCAGCCTTGCTGGCTGGGGAATTCTGGGAGTTGAAGTCCACACATCTTAAAGTCTCCAAGGTTGAGAAACACTGGTGTATATATTTGTGTTCCATATGATGAGAAGACAAGTGATAAGAGAGAAGGGAAGAAGAAAATAGTAGTATCCTTCTTGTAACTCGGTGACATACAATAAGGCATGGATTAACTCAGCTTTTTTAAACAAAAAACCTTTTAACAAGGTTAAAATGCAGAAAATATTCTTAATTCCTACTCTCTGAAATTTTTCAGAAGAGCAGACTGCCGGGCAATTTTGTTTTCATGGGACCTTGTACAGCACCTAGATATATCTATGGATGTCTGAGACCCTTTTGGAAATTTTGGGAATGAGGCTAGCATTCCCTTTCGGTTTCCGGAAGGCTTAACACAGATTTGCAGAGACTCCAGATTTTGGTGGGCTTTCAGCAACTTTTGCCAAGAAAGAACTCTGGCTGATCATGGCAAGTGAAAATGATGGGGTTGTGCGTATCAAAAAGTCAAGATGGCAGATGTGACTATGTGATTGGAGGCCTGCCCCCCTTTTTTAAAGCTTGTGATACACACTTGGGGCTACCATCTTGACTTTTTTAGTTGAGAGTTGCAAGGCATTGTTTGATTTATATTGCATATATTCGCTAATGGTTGATGTTTCTGCACATATTTCTGGCTAAAACTGATCTAGGGTTTTGATGGAACATGTGTTGTGATGTTGTACACAAGTATGTAAGGTAATGGACATGTGTTGTAATATCACAATACATGTTTCATTATCCTGACAAAATCCTGACTTAATCCAGACACCTCCAAGACCCATTAAGTTTTTCTCAGCTGTTTATTCATTTTTTTTCTGAGTGTGCATGAATATTGCAAACTTTCCTCTACTTGTTAAAAGAGAAAAAAACCATTCACAAAATTATTCCCCATGTTGGTAAGCATACAACGAGGGCAGGAAGATAAGATTTCACTAGTTTAAATAATTTTTAACTTTCAGAACAGAGGATTCCATAGTCCTCATAAAAACACAAATTGAAAACTTGAGTAGTTGCCTTGAATTTCCACCAAAGAAGAAAATGTCCTCTTCCAATTATTTCTACTAATCAGCTGAATGGAAACACTCAAAATCGAGCTATATTTGAAGCATGTATGTGTGTGCATGTGTGTGCATAAGAGACACATCAAAACAAATGTTAGTGCAAAACAAAAAATTGTGTCTCATGTAGAAACAACTAGGATAAAATAGCCAGGATTGCACTTCAGGCTTAGCATAAATGGATATTCCCCTCTACTGAGACTGTTCCTAGTTAAGTAGTACAACATGGGAGTAGGTAATAGATACACACACACAAGCACACACATGTGTAGTCAAATCTGGTACAATAGAGCAATTATTTTCTCTAGCATCTACACATTTTGTTTAGTATTTCTTGGTGTCTCTGGGCATATACCTCAATTGTACTACTTTGCCCACCCTACAAACTGTTTAACTATGAAGAACTTAATCTGGACTTTCAATGGTATCTCTAGCAAATCATGATGATGCTAAAATGGCACACACCTTGTCATTTGTCTTCCCTTTGAACACCCATGGAGACCCTATGAGTTAATGTTAACTCATTATCGATATTGTTGGATCAAGACTGGAGCTCAGGCCTGTAATCATTTACTGTAAATCAAGATTTCCATTCAGTTCAGTGGGATCTGATTTGCAATACAAATTGCAGGAGCTTGGGGTTGCAGCTGAGAGCAAAAATTTAAAGACCCCAGACCCTACACTAATATCCAAATCTGGAGATGACTCTGCCCTGAAAAGCAACGGGGAATCTTCCCAAACCATTGCAGGTGACAGTAGAACAATGAGGATAAGGTCGCTTGTAGTCATATTCTCTATACTTTCAACAAAGTGATTTAGAAGTAAGATGAATGAATACATAGCAGGCAACAATCTCTCTCCCATTCCATTTCTAGTGCTCTGAATACAATGCCCTGGGTCACACTTTCCAAGATGGTCTCAAACATCCTCACTGAAGAATAAATTCAACTCAGAGCTTAACTCAAACTCCACTTAACTAAAACACTTGGACTAAAACAATGGAAACAGTCACCACTGGAAAGGATTCCAAATATTTAACTTTATGTAAAGAGTCCCCCCTCTACACAGCACTACCAGGACAAGGCCACAAGACAATGGAGGGAGCAAGCTTCAGCACATGAATAACATTACATGAGAAGACATCACAGACCTCCATCTGGGTTTTAAGGCTCTCCTAGAGCTGAGGTCATTGCTTTGCAAGCAGAAAGAAGAATGGACATCAACACTACTTGTCCATCAAATTGAAGATCATCTCACAAGTAATTCCCGCTTTATTGTCATCCAGAGCACTTTCTTTCTCCTCCCATGCTCCGATAGAAACACTGTACGAGGTGCAGAATGGAGTGCTCACACAAACAGCCTCTTGAAAAGAAAAAATAATGCAGGTGAATATGGACATCTGCTAAAAGGGCTGTAGGGTGCTGTAATAGATGGCCAAAAAATCAGCAGTTCTCTTGCTTGAATGTTGGCAATTCCGCTTTCTGTTCCTCCCAACAACCCCTTTTCTATGCCCTACGTTGTTCACAGCCCTCCTTTCTCCAGCTAAGTGTTTTGGGAGGGCTGTAGATGAAAGGAGGTGACAGGGAGCCCAGGATGTATGAAAAAAAGGTACAAAAAAATTGCAACATGATGATAAGAGTCTCTGAGCTCATTATGTAGGCAGACAGAATACTTTTATACATGACTCCTGAAATTGAAAATACCCTGCATGCTTCAAACTGATTAATGATTATATTTTCCTTACCAACCTTGGTCCTAATTATACCAATAAAACTGTCATCGGGGACGGTGGCAATGAATAACTCTGGATATTATAGGGAAGCAGAGAAGGCAACTCACCTGTCTCTGTAATGCCTAAAAGGAACAGGATAAAAAAGGGTGCTTCTAATGGGTAGCAGCATACCGTGTGTTCAAGCGAAACGACTGTGTGTTAAAACATGGCTATTTGGCCAGGAAAAAAAGTTTAGAAATTTGTGCATCATAAATCATCATCATCATCATCTCCACCCCAGGTCCTTGGGAAGGACTTGATAGGTGGATACAAATGATAAAAATGCCAAATATAGCCTAAACATCTGGCTGACTGTGTGACCAACCATAATAATTGAACCAAAGTGGACACAGTTTGGGGTAAAAGGAAATTCTTTAAAACGGACAACTTGTCAGCATGGGAAGCCAAATTGCATACAGTAAGAGAGCAAAACGCTTACTTGATGTTATTGATGCTGTGTACTCATCAAGCTGTTGAGCTCCAATAACCTTCCTCATCCTGGTCTGTCTCCAAATGGGTGCACTTTAATTTCCAGAATTCCCCATTTAGCACGGGCAATGTTGAGACTTCAGGTCTGTGCCTCTGGAGAGCACCAGAGTTGGGGATGGTGGTCCTAGGACCAGGGAAACCTGTACTGACCAGGGATGAGTTTTCTCAATGCAGGGATGAGTGACAATCTTAGCCTACGGGGATGTTATTTTAGATATAAGACGGAGTGAAAGAGGAAGAGATAAATAGGTAGTTCAGTGCACAGTGGCTCACCTCAATTCGCAGGAGTGCCCAATGCTGGTAATCCTGCTAAAATGAAGTGGAAATTACTTTTAGGGGTGACTTTGTTTCTTTTCTTCACATTTACCGAAACATATTTTAACATACAGATGTGCCAATGGCTTATCAATTGTTGCAATTCACAAAGTGTAATTGTATCTGTGCTGGAATTTACCTGTCTGTAATTAAAAGGTAAGTTAACCAATTCCTTACTGTTTTGTTGTTGTTGCTGTTATTTGTTTAAATGTGCAGATTCTAACCTGGCCAGAAAAAAACATCCCATTCTTCCCAAAAGAACTCTTCCTTTGTGCTGGATTTCACTGCAATCATCTCCCTTGTTACCTTCTTGTTTGGCCCCGAGATGACTTCTCTTTTCTCTTTTCTTCCTCTTGCTTGCTTTGCAGGATGGAGAGCTCTGAACAGCTCTCGCCTCTCCACACTTTTCGGCATGCTTGTGCATGTTATTCTGTGTAGGAAGAAAGGGCCCAAAGAGAATTTAGCCAACCGGTTAAAAGCATGAAGGCATGGTGTTTTAGGAAAGGGACATAAGGTTAAGTGCTGTTCCCTAGCCAGCATGACCATGTCAGCAAGACAGGATGGAATTAAGAGTTCAAGACAGCAGGATAAGGAAGGTTGATGAACAACCGCCAAATAACCATCCTGCCCACTTCTCCCCAGCCCTGCCAGGCACAGCGGCCCAGAACCCTTGCTGCAAATATGAGGGTTACTGTCCTTCTTTCTTTAGCGCAACACAAAGGGCCTCTCAAAATTCTCCAGCAACTGTGTGAGTGAAGAAATGGGGTGGATGTTTTCTCTGGATTTCTCCAGGATAAGGAATTTTCCTATACATTCTAGACTTCTGCTCAGTGATATCAGGGGGACCACAACTGGGGAAAATCCAGTGTGACTGGTTTCTGTATGATGTCTTCCCTTGGCTGCAGAGATATTCTACAATCAAAATAGGAGATTCATACAGACATCTCACTTGACCATCTTGTATTAGATAAATCCAAGTCTCTCATATTCCATCTATAAAAGAATTCCCTAAATTTTCCTCTACTAAAAGGTATTTCATCAAATTGCACGAGAATGGGGAGGAAAAACTACTGGAGAATTTAGCACTTTTCCTTTCTTCTTTGACCTCTACATTCATGCGATCTCTTCCTTGACTTCTTGCCTCTTCCCACATCCCGCTTTGCTCCGTCTCCATGGCATTGGCCGATAGTTTCAGCATCAGAATATGGCATTTGCAGGCAACTAGGGTTGTGACAACTGGAGCTGTCCATAGTTTCACTGGGAATGATCCAGCCGCATCCTCAGCAATCATGAGCCAATTTAGAATTTGATTTCCAAAGTGGCTGAGAAGCTTCTGGTAAATTAAGTCCTACCACCTATGGCACAGCAACTGATTTGGTGCCTTCCAAGAAGCACAACTATACTTCTCATCATCTCTAACCAGCATGGGAATCAGAATTGAACATGGCAGTTGGAAGGCTAATTCTGCATCTGCATGTAACCCACTGGGTACAGATGTGGTTCTCCAGCTATACAATTATAGACTTCTCCAAAAAGCCAAGCAAGTCACCTTACCCAACGTGAATAGCCCTTGCCACACTTGGGACACGCATAGACCTTTGGCTCAAAGTTGGAGTCGTGGTATTTCTTGAAGTGCATGGTTAAGAGCTGTTTCTGCCGGAAGCTCTTGTCACAAGAGAGGCAAACAAAGGGCTTCTCGCCAGTATGTGTCCGCTTGTGCATAATCATGTGGCGTTCCTGGGGGAAAGAAGACTTCATCAAAACAAAGCCAAGGACTTTGCTAACAAGCTGCACAAATGCAGAATTATTCTCAGATCCTGAATAGCCAAATGGCCATGCCATTTACAACCATTTCCAACTCCTCTCCACTCATTTTTCAAAAGCTACCGGCCCAGTTATTTCAAAGTGATGTAAGATTTCCAGTTGTTTTACTCTAACTCAGTGTTGGGCGTCCACACCCCCCCCGGTTCTCCTTTATCGTGGGGAGTACCCCCCACCTATGTGGCTCATATCAG